CTGTAATTTCTGTGTTCTTATTATTTGAACATTGCATACAGTTTAATGCATGTTATGATAGTAAGTTTTATGATCTATCATACTTATTAATTGATTGACAGGTCTGCACAGTTTAAAAGATCGAATGTTGCGAGTGTACACAGCAATGCAAGCGGATCTTAACATCAAATCAAAAAGAGTTTACTATTAAGGGCCGTGTTTCTGCCTAACAAACATATGGGAGAGGAATATAACATCAAAACAAAGAACATTATGGACTGTTATATCATCCTCTTTGGATGAATCTGTCAAGAAATTTATAACCTTTTTAGTCACTGTCCAGTTGATTCTGGATGATGGATTAAAGTTTTCACAAGGACAGTTAATTCATAGCTTATATTTCCACCATCAAGTTTTAAATTTTTTATAATATCTATATTCTGAGACACTTTGAATTCGATGGGAAGTATTCATCGTTAACGAAACAGTCTACGCATCTCCATCCCTAGTTGGAAGAAGGCAGCAGCATTGCATGTTCCTATCAACAGTTTCGAGTCATTAAGTCATTTGGGCCACCTACAGGCAGCTACAAGGAACAGAGTTTATGATTAAGTTTCTGCAGGCCCAGACTCAAATCCGTATCTTTGCAAGATTATGGAAATTTATCAATTTCCAAAGTACAAATTCCACCTACCACAGCACTTCTGCTAGTGACTTTTGGCCGTTTCACTCAGCAAACAATAAACTTACTTGACAGGTTGTAATTTTTTAATACTGATTCATGCTTTTCGAATAATACACATTTGTTCTGATATTACTTACAATATATTCTATATCCTTCAATAGACTATCGTTCCTGGAACCTTGTTTAAAAGAAATAATACCTACCATTAGCAAACTAACTCGCCATATGCGACAAAAGAGTTCTGTCCTAGAAATCACTGAAAGGTGATAGTATGAAAGCGATAAGACGTTTAGTAACGCACATATGTGAGGAATATATAAATAACGCAGCTTCATTCTGTTAAATTATCTTAACAATACTAAATTGCATCTGCCTTGATTATAGCAATGCTGAACTCAAAGCTACATTGTGGAACAAATTAGCTGTTGAATTGGAAAACAAACTTCAAAATCAAGACCCGAACAATATGGTCATGATTGTCACTGGTGTTGTCATAAATACTTTCAGCCGAACAATATGGTCATGATTGTCACTGGTGTTGTCATAAATACTTTCAGAGGTAATATGAATAAGTTGAACCAATAATATTTATACAAATCAACTAAGCTTTATGGAATAATTTAAAAATAAAAGCTATATTTTCTTCAGGTCAATTCTCAGCATCAGCAAGTACAGGTTCAAAAGTTTACATAAACATTGAAGACTCACGTGTGTTGGAACTATCACATAGGTAATTTTTAAGTTGCATATATGCCGAAAATTAGCCACTAATTTTTTTGGGCAAACAGTAAATTTATTGTTGGGCACATGCACAAGTACTATAAGATTTGCGACATACACAATATGATTTACTTTCACATAATTTTCCAATTCTTACACATAATTTCTAATAAAATATGTATATGTACAGACATACGGACTCTGAAACTGAATTGCAAGTTATTGCCACACCAGTATACTTCAGTCCAAGCCAAACAAACTTAATGAAATCTGAAATAGCAACTTTGATGGAATTAATATACTTTGAAGACCCAAAAACAGCAGAAGTAAATTAACATTCACACTCAAATGATGAACCAAATTTTATTTTTCAAGAAAATAGACATCATTATCATGGATTTGTGCAGGTCTATCATTTCTTATGTCAGGTGAAAATTATTGGCATACTTGAACAAAAATGGAGATACCATGGATGTCCATATTGCAACAAGAAAACAATGGAATCAGGAAACACCTATTGGTGCAGACAATGTAACAGGGAAGTCCTAGCAGAGAACAAGTAAGCAATAAATTTATTTCACGCTACAAATAATTTTTTCTCACTCTCTTCATATTCTGAGTAAATTTTTTTTCTAAATATAAACGTATAAATAGGTATAGAATAACATTGGATGTAGAAGATAGAACTACAGTCAGCACATTCGTTGTCTTTGGAAAGGAAGCAGAAAATTTAATCAAAGTTTCAGCCCAGGAGGTATCAAGGACAATAGAATATGTAAGCTCGACCTCTAATAATCAAACTGCTATACATTAGAAGATAAATGCATTAAGAAATGCGTAAGTAATGCATGATTTTGTGCAGAACAATGAAAGGGAGATATTCCCAGAGATTATCAAATCAATTATTGGGAAGACTATAAAAGTTCAGGTTAAGCTAACAAAGTATAACTTCGAAGAAGGTAAGCAATTGTTTTGTTTGATTAATGATCTAATACGTTTATCTAATATATAGCAATAATATCCTACAAATTTAAAGATGGCTTTACATTTGTTTTTCATAGTTTTATTTTTATACTGATGAAACAGGCAATGAGAGCTTCACTGTTACAAAACTTATCGAAGCTATTGAAGGTGATTCACAGGTACAAACCTAAATTTTGAAGTTAGAAAACTTATCAAAGTTATTACAAATGCTTATTATTCTAAATGACAATGTATAGTAAATTACATCTATTTTTCTCTACAAAGGAATCCCAAGAAGTTGAAGTTGTTGATCTACATGAAGACGCTCTCCTACAAACACCTAAACATATTTCAAAAGATAAAACTGTGTTCACACCCTTGACTAACACACCACTCAAGCCAAAGATAGAAAAGATTTTCAAAAGTTCACCTTTAAGGATAAAAGATCTTGGAGAAGACGAGAACATTCAAAGGAATTCTACTATCAAAGAAACTGAAGGTTAAGTTGATTAGCAATCATTTGTTACATGTTCTAACCACTATATGAATACAATATCATAAATAGCTCATTATCTATTTTGTGTTGTTGCAGATCTCAAAAGAAAAAGAACTTCCAATGAGTGTGGCAAGGAGAAATGGATCTGAATTTTTATTGGAGTTGCTACGAAGTTTTTGTGCACAAACCTGATGATTTTTTTTGGTCTTCAGATCCAGTTCAGAAAAGCTTAATACCTTAGTGACTTTCTATATGATATTTGCTTTGAAACACTCAGTGTGGTTATATGTATTAGTCTAACTTTAAGGTTATTTTGGAGTAAGTACTTTACTATGTTTAAGATCTCACATGCATGAATGAATGGTAGTTGAATATTGAGCATGGTCCTGTGTTTATGTGCACATAACATTATAGCAATTTCCATGTTTATGCAGCCTTTTTTCCTATGTCTATGTAGAGAAAGTACCCTCTCAACATTTACTCAAACAGTTCCCTGCTTTTAGTATGAAGAAAAGACACAAAGAGAGTTATGACTTCAAAATTGAACTAACAATGCTCATCTTAAGCAGGTATGATTTCATTGAGCAACTTATAGGCTATTTATGTATATGCCCAAATTAATTTATGAAGGCTTCGGAAGCAACAATTTATGATGTTGTATATTTCGAAGCTCTACGAACTTCACAGGTAATACAAATCTATCAATTTATTCAGATTATAAAGTTATTGTTGCTGAGCATTACATGATAAAACAAGTTCTATCAATTATAAAGGCTACATGATAAAACCAATTCTTTCAACTATGTATGATTAAACTCATAAGCTACAAAATAGCACCAATTCCTACTAAAATTAGAACTAAACAAGCTCGAATTCATCAGCAAAATCTATGAGGACTTACTAGAGCTCAGGATAAAAATAGATTGGTCATAAAAGATTGCCTCTCCTATAAAACTATGATGCAATGTAGGCTGCTATTATGAGGGATTACATCACCCAAACATTGTAATATCAATGTAGGTGACATTCCACACAGAATTGCCTCGCCTAAACATTACATAATTAATTAAAATAGGATACATTCTCAGTTTGTTATCATCATCACTGCCCATCTAAAAAAACATAAACCAAAAGAACAAATATCAGAATTGAGTACCAAAGAAAGCCATCTGTCATTAAGCTCAAACCGACCGTTATATACCACAAGAAGCCAACAACCAATACTAAAATGCATATGTATTTGTTTATTGACAGCGGTATATACAATAGAGCTGTTGAAACGTTCAAAGCTTTTTACTGTTAAAACATTCAAAGCTCTTTATTTTGTTCAACGAGAACTTTCTATTTACAGATTAATTTATACTTTTAACTTAAAAAACATTCAAAGCTTTTTACTGTTAAAATTCATCGTTCTATAAAAGGAACTCCATAATGCAAATTTAAAACCTAAGCATAAGTCAGTTAAATACACAGAAGATACTATCACTTCTTCGCATTTAAATTGCTGTTACAGAAGAAAACTTAACAAATATCAAGCCAAATTTAATTGACCAGATAACTATATCTCCTTTCATTTATTCACATCTTACTGCACTAACCAATTCCTTTTTTTGTAAATTAGTAAGACACACTGAATAAATAACCAGATAACATGAATTAGACTCCCCAGTATCTAATAGAAAACAACAACTTTTCCATGTTAAAAACTAAAAACGCTGACCTATTCACAAAAATGAATCAAATTTCATTCATTCATATTCATTCATATAAATATAAATTAGGAAACACATAAAAAGCAAGATGAAGAAATATCTAAAATTTCACAACGAAACTGAACCAGATTTCTAGGAGATGAGATAAATCAACCAAATTTAATGTATCTAGCATGATATTAAGCATAAATAATACCAAAAAATTAGGGAAACAATAGATTAACAGATTTTCATGGTTATGAAATCCAATTATTCATCAACTATTCAACGAAAGGGAATATCATGAAAAAATTATACCTGTAATTGCCAAAATCCAACAAATCAAGCAAAATCCGACGAAATCCCTCAAGGAAGGCAGTGAATCACAAATTAATATGGACATGCAGACTCAAAAAGTACACAAATTAATTGCAAATTAATTACTTAATGATAATAGAAGACTCGCATTTGCATGTCTTTATGTCAACGAATGTTAACCAAATATACCGCCATAAATAGTTAACATGCAATAAAGGCTGAAAAAAGATAGTATCTTTCCAGTTTAGGAAAAATAAACAAAACTATAATCAAACTTAAATAAATCTTTACTCATAAATAACAAACAAACTAAAATTTCAACATGAGACAGGTAGTATGCTAAAAAGATCAGACCTTGGTGACAAAACTCTGACGCTGCACGACCAACCTTCTGTCTTTCGAGATCTGCTGCATGAAAGATGAAAGATGATAAAAGTGACAGCATTAAAGAATGAAATTATCAATCTTTACAGGTTAAATCAACAAATCTTAAAAAAAAAATCTTTACCTAAAACCGTCAACGACGACGACATTTGAAGGCGGAGTCGACGACGAGATTCAAGGGAGGAGTCGACGATGAGCTTCGAAGGCGAGGTCGATGACGAGGTTCGAAGGCGAGGTCGACGACGAGCTACGAAGAACGACGAGCTTGAGGTGAGGTGTGAACGAAAGGAATATGGAGAAACATGAAAACCCAAGCCCTAATCTTCAATTGGAGTCGGTTTTGAAGGAGGAGAGGGAAAGAAAGACGAGAGAGGATTCGATCGCTCAGATCTGAAGGAGGCGCAGACAGATGGAAATGAGAATGCCCTAGCCCTAAAACCCCACTCTTTGATATTTATAGGTATATAATGGGTATCATTTGTAGCCCTAGCCCTAAAACCCCACTCTTTGATATTTATAGGTATATAATGGGTATCATTTGTAAAACAAAATTTACATAATAAACATATAATGGGTATCATTTGTAAAACAAAATTTACATAATAAACATTTGGAATAATTCCAAGAAAAAACTAAGCCATGACCCCACAGTCTGATAGAGATTCATCATCTTAATTTCCAATGGAAAAAAATTTCATCTTAATTTCCAAAGGGAAAAATAAAAAATCCAAACAAGCCCTGCATTTTTTGTGCCGAGATATTTTAGTTTCTACGTCATGTTTTTTGATTAATGTAGCTAAACTAACCCAGCTACTTGATTCTAGCTATAACTAATCTGCACTGTTCTAATATCACATTTTTATAAAAATAAAGGGTGCTTATTTGGTTAAATTTCTATGAAAAATTTATCAAATTAATAAACGACAACAAATTAATCAAACATATCTTTGGTTAAATTTTATTTATTTATAAACCAGATACTAAAAAATATTTTTTTATTAAATGAATTATCGCTTCGAACTTGATCATTAATAAACGAATAATAACCAAATATTAATTAATTTTTCAATTCACTTTTACACTAAAATGAATTTATAGCAGAATATTACAATTATTTAGAGCATAATACTTAATTTTGTTAACATAATCAATATTTGAGAATATAAATTGAGAATCACTGTTCATGCTACTCAATAGATCTTTCTCTTACACACAATCTAATTGTTGACATTGAGGAGATTGGGATAGTTTATGTGCACAAAGCTGTGAAGAGACTTGATAGGGGATATTTATAGAACTATAGATATATTGTTTTATTACGCCATTATGTGTGAGTTGTTGGGTAGTATTGTTATATTTGCACCATACAATATTATTAGACATCTATTTTTCAAATGCAACTCATTTGTAGTTCTTCATAGTTGCTAGCTGTAAAAATCGGTTCAAAATAAAAATAAAATTGAGATCAAACAACATTAACGAATTGTAGAAAAGAGGCGAGGGCCGTGCTTGGCACGGGGTACATACTAGTTTAAGGAATGTAATAACAATTTCAATAATCTGAGTGACTAACTTAGGCACTGTTTGGCAACCAAAAAAAGTGTCTTATCTAAGAGCTTGTGTCTTATTGACTTGGTCAATAAGCTAGTAGAGCTGTTTGGTAATAAAAAATAAAAGGAGATTATTTTAGAGATTGTGTCTTTTGCAAGTAGCTTTTGGAAAGCTATCTCAAGTAGCGTTTGTCTTTGGGAAGGAGCTGTCAAATTTTTTCTTCCATTTTTGCCCCTAATAATTTTAATTTTATATTAATAATATTGCATGACCTTTTTAGTCATTTAACAAATTTAAGCTAGTTGTACAGCTTCTTTTGCCAAACAGTTCTAGTCAATCAGCTAGCTACACAGCTATCAACTTTCAGCTATAATTTCACAACTTTCAGCTAGCTTGACAGCTTTCAGCTATAATCTCGTAGCTTTTAGCTAGTTTTACCAAACAAAGCCTTAAAGATATGAAAGAAAAGATGAAGGGGTTAATATCGGGGTGTGTGTGCGCGTGTGTTAAGAAAACCCAAAATTAAAACCTCATCCAGTTCGTAACATGCGTACCAAATCCCCTGTCCGTCCCTGAAACACCGCACACAAAAAGAATCCAACTGTTAATGGACACGCATGCTCTTCACAGACCAAGCTCCAGGCTCGCATACCGCCACTCCTCCCAGTAATGCTTGCTCGTTTATCATTTCCTTGCCTCCCTTCCCAAGACGACGTCAAAATCATCTAAAAACCGTTTGCGTACAAACCAAGTGCCCCAGACAGATAGACAATTATACCCATGACCACATGTGGCTTGGGTAAATTCTTGAGTCCGTACTTCTTTACATGATCTAATTTCTCTATCAGTGAAAATCATTGAAATTAATAAAGTGAAATGAGTGATTGGTTTACGTCACATTTTAAGTGATATTTGATGAATTTTATTTATATAATTTTTTTATGATACCTAAAATCTTATAATATATTTTATGATATGATGTATAAATAAACTAAAAAATACATGTTTATTAGTGTATAAAAGGATAATAAAACTAAAACAAATGTCACTTATGGTTCCTGCATGCAATGATAATTGTTTTAGTATATATATAATAGAATAAATGTGAATTCTTTCCTATTTTGGAGCCAATTAATGTTTGAATCTATATTTTACGCCATATTTGAGTTTACATATCTCAACTCACTCATCAGCAATATAGCAAATGATAGCCCATTAGCATTATAGCAAATGATGCAATCGAATCAGATATCTTACTTACTGTATTCATACATGTTTACTAATTACATGTATATATTTGAATCAAAATAACGTTTCAATAAGAAAAACATGTCATCCATATTCATTGGAATTAAATACGGATGCTATTAACCAGGATGAAAAGATACAAAGTCACATGCGCATACGAGGAAACATGTGCAGCAGCAGTATGATATAAAAAAATGTAAGCTAGTCGAACTTACTCAAAAAAAAAAACTCACTGTTATTATCATTTTAGTGATGGAAAATAATATTTAATCAATGACAAACAAGTGTTTCACATTAGGCATAATCAAGTCAGCACCTCAAGACAATTAGAGGCTCAACTCGGTCGACTCGACACACCGACATCTCACGAGGACGACTTGAAAGGGGTCACATGTCGACGCCCCGAAAGATGTTGCATGTCATCCTCGGCTGAGTCAATTACTTAAGCACTCCTCTCGGCAACTCATTGGTCGACACCTTGCGAAGGCGACTCGAAAGACGATACTTTTCGACCACGAGACGAGTAGAAAGACAACGAAACGCCTCGAGCCCCTCACGTGCACTGATAACCAATCACCTCGCCATAAAATGTCATTAAATGCATTACGGGCGCCATCATTCCTCTGCCTCCAATAGTATTTATGACATATCGGACAACGTTGGCACCACACCCCACATCACTTTGCATTAAACCGAAGTGACCTCTCGTCCGCTCCTCAACCAGCACCTGTAAAGTTGAAGCTGACTTGGCCGTCAACCTATGTCCGGCCAAAGTTACCATCATACCCTCCTTCCACTACTATAAAAAGGGAAACACTATTTTCCATTACATGGTAACTTTTTTCACCATTCTCTGAACTTAAAAACTACTACAGTTACCTTTATTTCTCCACACAAGCCACTCGCTGACTTGATATTCGAAGGGACCACCGGGGAATCACATCCCTCCCTCTTACGATCTGTTACTTGTGCAAGGAAGTACAGCTTGCCCAAAGATCTGATATTTGGATAGTTAGAGGATCTCCATCAACTTAATCTATTTTCATTTGACAGTGTGATTCCATACATCAACACTCACATAAACAAAAGTTGATTTAAGATATATTTCCTCACATAAAAGTCCATTAATACATTTAAACATGTACAAAAAGATAAGATTAAATATATGGAGTATCAAAATTCACCTTAGATCCGCTAACCTTGGTTCATATACAAAATTTCCAAATATCGATCTAGATACTTTTCTTATACACACACACATTTTTACGCGATCTAACAAAGAAAAAAAAATATATATATACATACAAGCATCTAGATACGTCCCTAATTCCCCTATATTCGCACTAAACCCGTTCCCATTAATTTTATGTTCACGATCCACCGTGAAAATTGCTTCACAAGTTTCATCAGGCGATCTCAATCGTTCGTTCCGTTAATTGGCGCCCAAGCTGGTCACATTCATAGGACGTTTGCGCTTGAGGGGCAATACCGTCATTGTTTATGCGCAACGAATACAAACAGCGCCGCTCTTAAATACATGAGGCGGTTCACTCCTCCGCCGGTATTTATCCTACTCCTTGCCTTCTCCAAAGTCCTGCGACCCAAGAAAAGCAAAAAGCGAGTGAGAAATCGACGCCGGTTTTTATTTTCTAGGTAATTTGAAGGAAATTCAAGTTCTTAAGCCAATCTAAGGTATATTCTTAAGCCAATCCAAGGTATATGTACTTTATGTTTTCTATTTTTTATGTTTTTATTTCATTTTTGATCGGTTGTTCTCTCAATTGTAATTGTTTGTGGTGTTTTCAGCTAAGTCATTAATTTCTATGATTTATTTTTGAATGTGGATGATTATTTGATAATCATTTGCAATTTTTCTATGAATTAATGTTTAATGGGGGTGAAGAAACTGAATTATCAGAAGTTTCTTCATAGAATTTGATTTAGGATTCTAGTACAAGGAAACGGATACATCATAAGAAATTTTATGAAATTAAATCTGTGGGTGAATTTTGTGATAGCCTTGTTAAAGCTTGAATTATTGGTTTAAATTGATATTATGCACCAATTCGTCGGCAAATGATATTTTCCCCCTTCATTTGTCGCGCATGAGGGCATTAAAATTGTTGGCTACTATGATTTAAAATATTTTGGACATCTTCTGAATCTGGATACATTCTTGATTTGACTTCCTTGAGCTCCCAAGGAAACTCTGTTGACATTCAGTCTTGCCTTCATAAAACAGAGTGCTAAATATCTCAAAACCAAAATTAAAAAGATCATTCCATGGCATAAGTGTTATAATTGCTGCTCAGGTTGTTTTTTATCCTTGGAAAAGTCAGATTCAGTGAAAATTTGGTATTATTTAGTTCCTTCTAAAAGAATCAATAGTATTCGAACCATATAATTTCATCTACTTCTCATCTTCTTCATTGACATGGTGTAGATTGCTTTACTAGCATCCTTCTAATCTTCTTGTGTGGTGCCTAACGAGTATATGCCGTTTTCTTTTTCTTAGTAAATTCTACAAACCGAAAATGGTTGAAATGGCTGAAAGATCATGGGCTGAAGAAATTGAGCAAACTGATGCTGAGAGCTGTTGCTCGGACTCCGGTACTGTCACCGAGGGGCCAAACTTTAAGAACGTTGATGAGGTTTCTTCTGATGGAATGCTTAAGCTGAACGAGGAAGGAAATGAGTACATACTTTTGAAACATCGGTTCTACTTGAGCATTGGCGTCCTTTCGCAGAAGTGCACGGTTATTGATGCGTACAGGAGTCTCCATTCTGCTCCCATGGAGAGAGCTCGGCTTGAAACTTTTAAGATTTTCATGGATGCTATGGCAACAAAAGGTGAGGGGAATCCTAATGTGGTGCACGCTTGGTATTGTGGATCGAAAGATGAGGTTCATCAGATTATGAAGAAGGGATTTGGGGTGTGTGAGATGAAGAAAGACAGTGGATCCTATTGTTTTGGTCTGCATCTTTATCCGGAGCTTAAGGCTTGCGACAGGTATCAAATATTTAATTTAGTTTTTTTTCCCTCTTTGTTACAGGTGTAGACGTGTTACATCATAAAATTCACAACAAGGTTAAATTAAACCTCTTGAAAGGGCATGCATATAGTTTGTTGAAGGCCTCCTTGCTCTCAAGTTAAGACTTAAGACTGGCAGAGCTAGGATTTCAAGTTAGAGGAGGTAGATCATGCATCGACTAAAACCTTAGTAGGAAAGGAAGAAAAATTAAACCCATGCATTAGCTAATTAAGACTTCTATAATGATAGGTCAATTAACAATTTGATCTAATGCCCATGGTCTGTTCCCCCCCCCCCCCCGCCCGCCCCAAGAAAAAAAACACACCACAACACACCTTTCCCTCTGGGTACCTCTTTCAAAGTTTTTCATACAATTTTCTAAAATTTGTGTTAAGGTCCTTAACCAATATATTGTAGGTAATGTTGAGGAGTTAACCTTATCAAAACAAAGTAGAAACTAGCTGTTACTTTCCTTGTAGACTTGCTTCCGTACATGATGTCATATGAATGAATTGATTCTTGATATGTAGTGTACATGAAAATTGTGTTCTCTCTTCTTACAGATTTCACTATTTTCAGAGTCCCTGAGATGTATATTAACTTGATTTCATGTTTGACTATTTTGCAGTATTCCATCTGTACCTGCTGATGCTGATGGATTAAGGCATCTGTTGGTTTGTCGAGTCATCTTGGGAAGAACAGAAGAAATTCTTCCTGGTTCAATACAGTCTGGTCCGAGTTCCGAAGACTTTGATTCTGGAGTGGATAATCTTCAATCTCCTTCAAAATATATTATCTGGTATCCAGATGTTAAGACGAATATCCTGCCTCTCTATGCCCTCTCTATCAAGATGGATTCTTTCACGGGAGGTGCGTATCTTGCCTTTGTCTAAATTTATTAACAAGAAAGCTTGTGTGATGAGATCATTAAATGCTAATTTTAGTCTTGAACTGTGTATGTAGTACTTATGTCGATTTTCCTTCGTCAGGGGCACAAAGAGAGCCGGATGTGATGAAGCCTACCACGCCATGGGTGCCTTTTACTTCCCTCGTTTGTTTGCTTACTAAGTGCTTACCCCATTCAACTATGTGTCTGATTAGGAGGCTTCACACCAATTTCTTGGTGAGTTTTGGACTGTCCTTTTCTTTGCACATTTTATTTAATGGAAGTGAATCTGATGAAATTATTATGTTCTAATGCTGTGCAAATATTTCCGTTTGTAGGAACGGAAAATTACGAGGCAGCAGTTTATATTTCGGGTCAGGCAATTGGTGGGGGACAAGTTACTCGTTTCCACCATCAGGGACTTCCAAGAGAAGGTGCGGATCCTTAATTAGGTCCATATCAGACTTTAGAAATTTATGTAATTAAAGATTAATTTTCAAGTTCATAGAAATGCAGTCCACAAATATGGGACATTCCTTAGATGTTAAAAATATAATGTCGTTTCAAAACTCTGCGAATGCAGTCCACAAACATGGGACATTGTTGATTTATTAGTATTAGTTAGGGACTTATTTGTAAGTTGTGTAGGGGCCTATATAAAGCCCAAAAGATCTCATAATGAATTAGGGTTTTCATTTACAACTTGGTATCAGAGCCGGCTGCCCCCC